CATCTGGATTATCATACTTCATATTGATTGTACCAATACTCAGTATTAAACCTTGTGGTTTTCCAAAATGCTTTAGTTTAACGAGTTCTTGCATTTGCTCAATTGTACATGATGGTTTCGTGCGCACTTGAACATTAAATAACCTATCATTTAACATACAGTTTCCTTGCTCAAGAGTACGTGTAATACTGGTGCCACTTATAATAATAGGAATAGGTGGTGTTGAGGTTTTACTGACTGTCAACATATGATTTGAATCTGATTTTATAGGTGTCGATGTCTTGTTTTGATTTAGAATAGTATCATCAAAAGCTACGGGATGACTTAGAGAGTTTGTTTTTGGAATTTGAAGCTTGTTTACATGTGGTGTAGTTGTGGATTTTGATATATCATCAGAAAGCAGTTTAATATTGGATGAGTTTAATAAATTTTGTTGATGCATGCACATTGTTTTAATCAAAAGATCATGTTGATCAACTAAATTTTTCAACCAAGTATTTGTGTTTATCATCTGATTAATACTGGTATCTGTTGTAAGCGTACTAGTAACTAACGAATCATCATCATCCAAAACTTTTAAAAGTGAACTAATAAGTAAATGCAATTCATCGTTCGATAGAGTTTTCAAATCAGAATTGGGCTTGTTAATTGAGTTCAAAAACGTTGAAATAATCAGTTGTGACTTAACCATGATAAGGAAAAACTGAACGATTATGATAAGTAAACAACCAACCAATAAAGAGTTGATGGTAAAAAATGGACAAAGTTTGTTTATTTTGAATAATATAATTAATCGTAATTGCAAGATAAACAAATATGCAGCCCAAAAAAAAAAGGTATTGACTACGTTGGTAAAAGCTGCGCATATTTGATGATATCGAGAAAGATGTGTAAGACATGCCTAGCGAAAGTATGAGTTTTTCATATCTTCAATGAGCAAATTCAAAGGATATGGGTCATATCAAAGAAAAATTCTGGCATTCTCTTCATTCCTTTCAAGCTGAGCAAGACTTTGCGAGAAGACAGGTCTTTGAAACCGTGATTAGACCAAACAGCCATTCGGCAGCCTGTTCAATAGTCATGTAGTTCAGGCCTTAAAGATCTAAAAGACAACCCTTTCAAGGATCGAAACTTTTAAAAGTCCATTTGCAGGTGTGGCCAGTCCCAGAAAAACTGCTTAGACATCGTATTTATGGATTCAATCTTAATGATGTGCGCTCTAATACAGATCGTTTGTGTTCAAACTTGGATCATCATGGTGTGGAAGAAAGTGCATGAGGCTATAGTTACACTCACTATGTCGTGCTGTGCATATGTTGAAAAATTTTGGTAATAATAAAAGCATATTGATAAAAAGGCAGTCTCAAATATTGGCACACTACACAACAAAAGTTCGATATTGAGAAAAAGATATACCCACACTCTTTGTTCCCTCTCTCAAGCGTTGCGCACCAAAAACAAGTCATCAGTATATCAATTTCACAGTACATATTCATTAGTCTACACTGCAGTATTAAACCCGTAGTTCTCTAACCGACATGGAAATGCAGGAAGCAAGAGAGTATTGATGACTTTTTTTCGGTGCACGACGAATAAAAGAGGGAATAAAGCACAGGAACAAAGACAGGACAGTGGTATTTTTCATCGTTATATATTATCATAATATCACATGTGTCGTATTTTATGGGATAAGACCTGAAAAAAATGTTGTCATTGCTCGGATTATCACACGTACTAGGAACCTTCTCGGGTGACTAAAAGCTTTTCTGATAAAATCTAGTTGATCTAAGGTACTTTTGGGTGCTGATCCAATATTCGTTTGTCCCCATATTGAGTTTCTGAATGGTTCTTTAAAAGTCTGGTCACTCAAGATCCATCAAGAATCAGCTAATCAAGAGATTCTTATTTGGCCATGTTGTAGCGCTCATCGAGTTACCTACATGGAAATGTTTTTAGAACTATCTAACAAGCTTTAACTGAGTTATAAAATTGTATGCTAGAAGCACCTGTAAAATTCAAATATTTCATTGTGATTGAAATTAAAGTTTGTATAACTCAATAAAGCCTGTCGGGTAGTTCTAAAAGCATTTCCATCTAGGTAACTCGATGAGCGCTACAACATGGCCAAATCAGAATCTCTAGGTTAGCTGATTCTTGATGCATCTCTAGAGATCAGACTTTTGAAGAACCATTCAGAAACTCAATATGGAGATAAACGAACATTGGATCAGCACCCGAAAGTATCATAGATAATTAATATTTAATTGATTGTCGACTAATAATTGATTTTCGAATATGAAAAATTTTGTATCAATATTCATTTCGTTCTGTCAACTATATTCTGCAAATCTAGGGCAATGTCACTTGTCTATTGCTGTTTATCTATCTCGTTCTATTATTAACCGTTTAATGAGCCAAATGTGTAACACAAACTCCCTTATACTCATACACAGTACATATTTTCTCCTCAGATTTACAGTTTGTTGAAAAACTTCCGTAGGCAGTTTCAATTATTTACGCTGTATTTAAAATCTTTAAGAATACTCAAAAGCAATTTATTGTCAGCTAACGCATAAGGAAAATTGATATGGCTTCTTTTCATGTATTGTGCCATATAAAATAGAAAAAGAATGAACACCTAATGAATTGGATTCACCATCGGTATTTACAAAGACGTGTCAAGTAATTGTAAAAATTTTGAACAGATTTGTTCGGTTGTTTCCAATTCGTTGCAAAATATGAACTGGTGATATTGTGATTTTGTATCGTTCTCGCAAACCTTTTCTCAGATCTGTTAAAGATGTCAAACCAGTTTTATTTTTCTGACACCACTGTTGATGATCAAGATTTGAATAAATTGTTTGATATCGTGCTGAAACATCCCCTTTTACAACATCGCATATGTTCTGGACTGCTTCCAAAAATTCATTGATGGTTTTCGATCCAGTGCCTGGAAAATTGCATATTTCTTTGTATTGATTTCGCAAACTGAAAGTTGATAAAGCACCGGCCATGCTTATCGCTTATTGTGCTGCTGCGATATCCTGCTGTTGCTTTTTCCATGAATTATGGGTCGGGTTTACTTCGTACTGTACCTTTAATACTTATAACTATGCAAAGCTCATGTTTATTGAGAAATATAGTTTTGCAGAAAGATAAAAATTTTTTGCAAAACTTCTATAATAATGGCGCTAATAAAAATATTTTTCAAATGGTTCAATTATGTCAAGACATAATAGTGCTGATGGTAATTAAGCATAATCTGTAAAGTTAATTACATTAATTTCTAAGGCAAACGGATATATATATATATATTTATCGAAATTTATATTTAATATTTGGTACATCAGCAATTTGTGTACCGTTTAAAGATTCACAAGCTATCTGCAATGCAATTGGGCGAACCTGGGGTGGTATTTGAGTTTTTATTATCATTGCATATAATTCACTAATTCTGAAATAGCAGAACGATCATATTTCGATTTAAAAATGTTCACAGAAAACATTCATTCTTACTTTCTGTGCATCCCTTTGCATTTAAAACGTGAACTATATATGAGAGACTGATCATCTACTGCCACCATCGTAATGATTAACTCATATTTTCGCTGAAAAATAAAACAGCACGAGTACATAACAAATGATCCAATGATGTTAATTTACTTTAAAATATTCAATAAGCTCAGCAACTGTCATATCTTCATTAACTTCAAAACGATCCCATATAGAATATTCATTGTTAAGATACTAGAAAAGATGAGAGAGAACAATAGTTTTTTGAAATAAAAATTTCGCCTAAAATTTACTGTATTAGTTTTTGAAGGAGTCGGTTTGATAAAGCAGAACAGTGATGCTCCCAAATTAGCAAAACTATTACGATAAGATTCAATATGTTTATGTTGTTGCACAAGTTTATATACTTCTAAACAAACTAATCCAGTGACCAGTGGTTGACATTGCTCGTACAATGCGACCGGCAATTTGTTTTATGCGACTACGTTCAACTGGTTCAATTTCATAATTTTTAGCACGTAAATTTGATGCGGCTGTGATAAAATCAATATGAAAATTTGTATCATCATCTTTTTCAAATTCTAATGGTTTTAAATTAACATTTAATATTCCTTCTAAATTTGGTAGCTTCAACATTTTTTGCTGTGTTTCAACAGTCTCATTTTCATTTGAGAAAGTCATTTCATTATTAGCATTCATTTGTTCATCATTTTCATAAATAGTGACATCTTCTTTTGGTATAAATCCTGGCAATTCTATTGTTGCTACATAGTCTTGAGTTTTGTGTCGATCTTTTACCTGTGAAATATTGTACATTTCCGCACATAAATTTGACGCAGCATATATGAAATCCATATGTAATGTATTTTTAGGATCAAATTTAATTTCATATGGACAACGTTTCATACCACTCCAAAACTTTTTGCCTTTAGAAGTAAGTTGTTCTG